GTGACATTGTATACAGATATGGCCTGCTCATCAAATTCCGTAAACGCGCTTGCATCCTCATGTCAGTATATGCGTGTATCGAAGGCTTTATATGGACAGATGCTCGTATGCATTTTCACATGCCTGTGTGTGCCATTGTCTACAGATATGACCTGCACATCAAATTCCGTAAATGCTGAGATTGACAGCTCTGACTAAGGGTAGGTAGGTACGAAAATAGGAGAGGTCACATGAATCCGGGTTCATACCTATATATCCATATATACATATACACGTGTTTGCTATTAGCCGAACAATAGTACAATATTGACCTCTTTCATTCGTCTCGTTTCGGACTCATTTCATTAAAGATATTAATTGGTGTCTACCTTACCACAGCAACTCCTAATGAGCAAAAAAGTACAATGCGAACATATTACAAAATAGGTTACAGTATTCTCATAATCTGTACCAAATACTAAAGACATCCGACGACAAACGTGCTACCCTACTTGCAATGGAGTCTTCATGTTGATGCTAGCACGAGCGAATTTACCACTCACACGTATGCACAACACACACACATATACATACATATATATATATATATATGTATATATATATATATGTATATATATATATATATATATATATATCGTCGACCCAAGACCAAGTAGTCGTGATTCATGTATGTACTCTGTCTGTATATTAAGCATACGTTTACACACACACACACCTATACACACATAATTGTACTTATATACATGCATGTATATGCATTATACAGGATGTCATCTTCACTCTCTGATACTTATTCTTAGCTTCCGGTATTTTTACTGTGGAGAACATTGCATGTATGCTGCTGGCAGTCGAATTCACGGCGTCGTCTTATAGGCACTATGCAGGTTTATGGGCCAACACTACCATGTGGCAACACAGAAGCCATCCCACTTACTCATGTGTATTATACATATAGTACATATTCATAGGTATGTGTATTCATATGAACAGATGAAGATACATATACATATGTGTAAACAAGCAACTTATGTAATGATTTTGCATATATACACATACATCTGTGCATAAATTTCTCTGCACATGTATATACGGTTGATTTTTGTCCGTATGGTATGCAACTTGTCTGGTTTGTACGTTACGGGTTTGAGCATACACATCTACGCATATACCTATAATTTATATATACACACACACAAAAGTCTAAATAACTACAGTCTACATACATACATATACATATGTACTTATGCATGTTTACATGTACACACGTAAACTTATACATACGTATATCTAAACGTGTATGTACATGTATATTTGTACATGTATATGTGTACATATATACACATATACATACATATGTTACGGGTTTGCTAAATTGTGTCAGCGACAAAAGTTCTCTGTACAAGGATAAGATATTCAAAGACATGGTTTTCATGATTGATACATACTGTTGACTCATAGGACGGTGTAGCTTAGACAGGATGTTATATGCATCTGCTTGCAGAATTACGCTCTTTGATACAATGGGGATTGAGTCTAGTGTTTCTGGGCTTGGCACCCTGTGATCTTTCATGTCGTATCGCTCATAGCGAATGATGTTTTGTGTAGTTCGAAGTAGTTGAACAGCTGGAGAATTTTCAGTAATGTGTATTCGCGAGTGCCGTGGGCATAACAAATGCTACATATATATATATATATATATGCATGCAACTGGAAATATGCGTATGTACACATGTAGAAGTGCATGCATGCTAGCACGTGTACACCTCCCACCAGAAAATATATCCATATGTGCTATACAGACCAGATTGGATTATAGTCATAGTAACGTTTCGGATTACAGAAACCGCTTCAAAAACTATAAACAAGCGCACTCCCACAGTGACCCGGACTCAAGAACGGGAACGGGCAGAACGGGCCAAAAGAAACCTGCGTTGCCTGCACAAGAGAATCATTCATTGGCTTCCCACGCTCTCCAAACCTTCCCGGTGCCTTCATCAGCAAGCCCCCAGCGAATGAGCCGGCCCACTTCCGCAATTCGCTGCATGCTGTCCATAGCACTCCAGGATGCCAGCAGGCCGGACTGTGGATCAAAAATCAATGACTGTAGCTCCGTGTTGAAGTGATCGATATCCGTGCTGCTTCGGATCTTGTCAAGGATGAGTTCTTTGTCTGTTTCGGAGGATGCCCGCATTCTCCGAACATCCAAGCTTTCCAAGGCACCTGCACGTTGCATCATAGTTGCTCTGGATGCAACTTTCAGCGCCATGGGCATTCGTAAACGCTTGGCTTCAGCCATTTCGGCGACACACCAGGCACGGTTGAAAAGGTCAAAAGATTCGTCTGCGGCAATTACTTGCCTGCAGCCTCCTGCCGCTGCGAGGTGATACATCACGTCATCAAACTTGTTTATCTCAGATGAAACACTTCTGCCATCTGGGTCAGAGATATTCACACTGCTGCAGTTACAAACCGGATGGAGCTCGCTTGTAAGTGGGTCGCGGTCGCCGGGATTTGTGTGGCATATGCTTTTGTGCTGGTTCACCGCAAAAGCGCAGACCCAATACGTGCCGTCCAGGCGGTCGCTTTCCGAGAGGATCTTGCCTAGACCCAAGAGTAACCTAGGAATAAAACGGGTGTCCTTTTTGGTTTAAAGGGGCTTTTAATAAGGAACCTGAACCCCTTAAACAGGGAATAAGGGCCTACTCCAGGTCCTAGTTGCGAAGGAACTCGGAGTCTTCTTCCAGCAGCTTCGTGGCCAAGTGGAAGCTGCATTCCTGAAGGGCATCCGAGACGATCGCAGCAAGCAAGTCCTTGTACAAGTTGCTCCAATTGTGCGTCACCATAATGGTGGCTCTTTGAGCCCCATCTCTGTTCAGACGAGAGGCTGCGAATGCGCAGGCTTCTCCAGCTGTGAGAGGAATGATCGCCCTGCGAACCACATCTCTGGTCTTGTGCTCCTTCGGCGCATACCTCCAGTCCTTACTACCCCAATAAGCCACACACGTAAAAGGCTAAACTTTCCGTTTCCTCCTATATAAACTGCAAGAACCCAAAAAGTTGGAAGGTTGGGTATTGGGGATCTAAGTAAACCCTTAACTTTAACCCGCAAACCCCCTAAAACCTAAACCCTAAAACCCCACTAACACCGAAACGCTAAAACTCCTCTTTGGCGATTACTACTATTCCTGCTAAGCTGCAAGAACCCAAAAAGTTTGAAGCTTAGGTATTGGGATCGAAGAGTCTGACATGGACGGGAGATCCTGTTGATAGAACTGCAAAAGGCTGCGCAAGGTCATGCCCCTCAGAGAGAGCTCATCAACTTTTGCCTTCCAAGGCGGACTCATGTCACCTAGTTCGTGGTTGGGATTGGAATAAAAGTGTAGATTTCTTGAAAATCTTATTGAGTTTAATTTAAGGCAGATAAGAAATAACTCTTATTGAGAGTAAGTGCCCATAAACATGAACAAAGTTGATCAACTATGACAAAGTCACGTTCCTTTGCAGGCACTACACTAGACTTTGCGGTACATAACCGGCAGCATGTTTGCTTCGAGTTCTTGCAAAATGCTGAACCATGCATTTGTGTGTTTTGACTGTCTGCGTTTGTCACCCTGTGGCTTCCGGACATGAGCAGCAATAGGACGGCTTTCACGAGCTGCCGCCACGCAGTGACAATCGTGAACTCTGCTGAAAATGCCACAGCGGAGATTCGCATCAGAAAGTAAAGGAACACAAGTGTCAGTTGTAGCATCGTAGTACGCCGGGCCAATCTTAAGGAAGACCTTGTGGTGTCGTTCATCCCTTCTCCACTCTGCGAGATCCTGCATAGCTGGAAGATGGATCGGGTCAGTGCACGGATTGTCATGATGATCACTAAATTGGTGTGCAGCTCACCAAAGACGAGGAGGAAGTCTTTCAAGAACGCGCTTGGCACGACAAGTAAAGTGCCAAGCACCCAGGGTTGCACCCAAACGATCTTTCGCACAAAGCCGCTGCAGTGTTTCTGATTCGATGATTTCTCCAAAAGGCCTAGAAGTGAAGATAGGAGCACAAGCATCCAACAATGTCCAGCTAAATGGAGCACGGCCACGATGCGGATAACTGCGATAGCAAGGCTTGTGTCAGGACGGCATTCTGAGATCAAGCAGGGTGCTTCCAACATGAGCGCAACCCAGCTGACGACAGTGCAGCCACATGCTGACCTGGCATAGGATGAGAAACCCACTTTTTTCCAGAGAAAGGCTACCACACAACCAACTCCAAGGATTGGCAACATCAGTCCGGCGAGCCAGACCCTGTCTGAGTGTGGGTGTTGGAGTTCAGTGTCTCTGGTCTTGCTTATTAGCACAGCCAAAGACGTGGCGTGCACAAGGAAAACCACAAAGAATGATCCAGGAAGCCATCGGTGCGAAAGTGGGGATTTCATCATCTACTGGAAGGGATGACATTGCTGCGGCCAAAATGGCTATATCCAAACCCTGCCGTGATCTACAAGTACTGCAGCGCATCAACAGTATATGCACCCTGGGTTCCTCCAAACATGCAAACACCCTGTGGCGATGATGAGCACGCCGGCATCGTCGCTTCACAAATTCATGCGTTACAACCCACCGGATGAAACGAAAACTGCCGCTTGCATTTCTTTGCGCTTAACTGCAGCATTTCGATGCATAGGTTTCGAGATTTGGCTTGGGAGGTGGTCAGGGTATGGGATATGGTGGGAATACTATGTTGTGACAAGGTCATACAACTGCAAAAGTGTGCGGCAGAGCTCCACGGGGTGGTGGCGATATGAACTGGAAATGAGCCTGGCCAGCTCTTCCTGTACTCAATTCAGTGTCACTGTGGCAAGTCGGTGCTGCGAAATGCTACGAAAACCGGTAGTTCCGGCAGGTCTGCCCCAAAACCGTGAACTCGAAACCCCCAAACCCCAAACCGCCCATAGCCCGGCCCATAGCCTAAACCCTGAGCCCCTGCAGGCCTAAAGGAAGCCAGGAGGCGGTACATCCAGGCAGGCCACAATGCAGAGCCCTTCCACTCCGAATATTCCATGGATGATGGGATAAGAGAACCTGGTCAGAGGCTCTGCTTCGGAATCATAAGGGCGTTTTCGAAAATAGGGGTACCAGATTTTCGGGGTCTTTGTAATAAGGTTCCTACTATTTAGGGTACTATATTGGGGTCCCCCCATTTTCGGAAATTCCCAGAACACAGGAGTTTGGGCATTGCCCCGATACAGTAACAGTCTATAATGGTGCCTGAAAGCTGTTACTGAGTGGGGGCAGTATTCAAACTAGAGCCTAGAGGACCCTGAAATTGCTAACCATATCTCTTGGCGCCCCTACATAGTCGAGTCAGCCTCCACCTTCAACCCTTCATACCTATCCCCTACTCGCATGTCGCGTCACATCGACCAGTCGCTGTTGTAGTACTATCTAGATTCTGACCCTTTTCGGGGTCCATAGTAGTAGACTTGCTTTCTTTTGGACCTGAACCTAACGCTCGCGTAGAAAGCGCTAAAAACACAACCCTACATGTCTAGAGTCAACATCAATACTGCAAGGCCCACTGCACTGCTAAACCCGTTCAACAGCCATCTACAGCCCTAGCAACAGAAGTCGCTTCTGTTGAAGGAAACCAACCCACCAGATGCAATCACTACCGGAGGGGACAGTTCAGGGATGTCTAGATGATGTTTGATCAATCTTTCCTAGACTCGACTTCGGACCACCTGTAAGGGTCTGGGGCAGGCTTTCAGGCTGAGGGACATTCCTAAGTTCAACCCTGTCATCATGCCGGTGAGTAGTGCCCGCTCCTGGCGCGACTCCTGCCAAGCCAGATCATGAGACTCTTGCAAGGCCCAGTCGAGCTAGAATCGTGGCCTGCGATCAAGAGCTCAAACATCTGAATGACTTGCACGAAAATCCCAAAGCTTCTAGCCCTTGACTGTGGTACCTTCTATTTTCGATTTGGCTGTCTGTTAAATTAACTAAATACCTAATATGCACCATCCAAATCATCTTTCGGTGCTACTTAATATACTTGAGATGCTTACTGTATCTACCGTACACTTAGTAATACACAATATTTCTATCATACTTATGTGTGTGTATATATATATATATATATTCACATGCTTACATAACAGAGCAGAACAGAACAGAACATACATATTCATACATACACACACATGCACATACAAATGCACAGCCAGCCAAACAGACAGACAGAAAGACGTACCGACATACGTACATACCTGCAGACAGACAGAGACAGACAATGACAGGAGACAAACAAAGGCAGACAGAGACCGACAGGCAGACACAGACAGACAGACAGACAGACAGACAGACAGACAGACAGACGGACAGACGGACAGACGGACAGACGGACAGACGGACAGACGGACAGACACAGACGGAGCCAGACAGACAGAAAGACAGAGGGACCTACAGACCTAAAGACCTACAGGCGTACGTACAGACCTACAGACGTGCAGATGTACAGACATCCACCTACAGACACCCATCCACTCATCCACCCATCCGCCCATCCACCCATGCACCCATCCACCCATCCACTCATCCATCCATCAATCCATGCATGCACGCATGCATACACACATCACGCAGACATCCTTCCACGTGACATACGCCTGGACCTGGCATCGCATCCCCTTCTGCTCTTTCTGTACTGTACCATTGGCGCAACTGTGGACTGACGGGCTTCAAGACGATAATAGCTGCACTCGGGAAACGAGCTATCTCCGACTCTCAAGTATGTATGTATGTATGTATGTATGTATGTATATACGTATGTGTGTGTACACACACATATATATATATGTATGTGTATATATATATATATATATACATCTGTGTATATGTATATGCATATCTATATTCTGATTATTGGTCTTATCTTCTGCAAGGAAGGCCCATTACGGCTCCTTCTCTCGAAAGCCCCTCCAGCCGCTCAGAGCAGCCAAGCTGAAGCTCAAAAGCCAGGCCGTGAGGGCCAGGGATGGAGCGGTGGTGCCTGGGAGTGAGGATTAGGGATTTGGGGTTCAGGGTTTAGGGTTTAGGGACCTAGGGTTTAGGGATTTATATAGGGATTTGGGGTTCAGGGTTTAGGGCTTAATTAGGGGGTTTAGGGATTTAGGGTTTAGGGTTTAATTAGGGGTTTAGGGGCTTAGTGTTTAGCGTTTGGGGATTATAAAGCCTTTCAAGAAGGTCCCTTTCAGGCAAGCCAAACATAGGTTGAAGAAGGGCTTCGGGCGTTTCGGGTTTAAGGTTTAGGGTTTCGGGCGTTCGAGGTTTGTTTTTGCTTTTGGAGGGGCCTTTTCGCTGCACTTCGTGCTCAGGCGCTTGGAGGCAGTGTCTAAGGTTTCGTTAAGGGTTTCGGGAGGGTTGAAAGTTTAAAGCGATGATAGTAATGAGGACGTGGGCTGAAAGGCCACGCAGATGCTTTACCTCCAAACCCTAAACCCTAAACCTTACTAGTAGTGCTAGTTAGCGACGGTAAACGAGGAGATTAACTCATGCTTGCTTGCTGCCCCGTTCTTGTCGTGGCGATCTTGCAGATGTGCGATGGATCCCTAAACCCTGAACCCTAAAGATGGATTGTAGCCCTACGTCCCGAAACCCCGGGCTCGTCATGGATCCCTCTTAAACCCTCAACCCTGAAACCCTAAAGGCCCTAAACCCTAAGCAAACCTTAAACTTGGGCTCAGGGGCAGCGGACACATGCTTGTAATGCAGGGGTCTTGGATCAGAACAGGGTTTGGGGCTATACTATAGTATGTATGCTTGTAATGGGATCCGTAGGTTGTATATTATCGTATACTTATTTTCTATACCCATAATGACAAATTACTCTTTCAATATTCTCTTGCGTTTTATATGAACAATGAAATAACCGTAAGTCCTACGGAAACTATGGACTATAGTTTGAAGGAGCCTTCTACATTCTACGTTGAACCCAGGTTTGCAAAGCCAACGACTCCTAGTGCCTCAAATACAGCAGGCTCGAGGAGTGCTCCCACTGCCCATGCGCGCGAAGTCGCCCACACGAAGATATCACACAACACAATGTCCGGGGAAAGACACCACTCCGCAGTACTGATGGGGAACCCTAAACCCTAGGCACTTAATTTTGGCTCGTGTCTGAATGCATTTCGCAGTTGCCCTTTGGTGCTTCCGCGAAGGTGTGCAGCAGCAAGGCCTGCCGGAGAGTCACTGTGCCAATCGTTGAACGCCAACAGCGAAGCAAACACAGCAAACGCGACCAAAGAGAACACAAGTCGTGGAACGACAGGAATCCGAAAACCGAGCAGGGAATGCCATGTATGTGCAGGGTAGAGAGGACGATAAGCAAACCAAGCGAAGAATCGTGTTTGTTGGCACTGGTGATGCTTGTGATACTACAGACAAGCTTAGCAATCATCATAGTCATGCCTAGGCAAGCTTGAACATGACAAGACGACTGATGGTGATGATAATGATGATGATGATGATGATCGTGCTGAGGGCGACATGAATTTGTCGAGCCCTTGCAGGCCAGACACGGGTGTGGCCACATTCAGTGCCAGCTTCAGCAGCGTGCGCCCATCTGTCTCCTGCGGAGGAGAGCTGAGAATGCTATGGGTTTGCCTCTGCCGCCACGACCTATGCTCGCCGATTCGAGGAGGATCGGAGAGGCCGTAGATTTGCTAGAACACCACATTGGGTTGCATAAGAACCCCGTGATGAATCCCTTATCACCAAACTGGGTTATCGCTTTTCGTTTTACAAGGTATCAAGGATGATCACTTATGACGAGTATGGGGAACAGGCTTGGCTCTTGGTGGTTTGCAGCATCTCACAACCTATCTGCAGTCTACAATTGCGTCATCCAAGATGTCCACGGGTCTCAAGAATACGCGAATAACACCTCAACTCGTTAGCTAGCCCAGGGACCGGATGGCTCATGTCGTTCAAACGGCACCTCTGGCCCAAAAACCACTATCTTTTTTGTTATAAACTTTGTTATCGCTTTGGACACTCAACTTGCCTCGGGTTTTGGAGATTTCTTGTAGCAAGTCTCTAAGTTTCAGTTTGCAGCGGCGCAGCCTGCAGAAGCAAGTGCAGTCTCTCAAGGCTCAGCTTGCGCGAGCGCAGCCTCTAAAGCCTCAGCGAGCCTCAGTTTGCACAAGTACAGGCTCTAAAGCCTCAGCTTGAAAGCAAGGGCAGTAGCAGTAGCAAGATCAGCAGGAGCAGTAGCAGCAGTAGCCGTAAACCGTAGTCGTGGTAATCGTAGCAGGACTAGTCAGAGTACTCATGTTACTAGAACCCCCCTTGTTGTACAACGAATCTTGTTGATCGGCCATTGGGCAAGCAACAGCCACTCGTTGCCCTTACCCTAAACCCCATACCTTTACCCACAGGCTCCCTCCTGCACGATATTGCACCGCTTCAGCAGAAGACCCAAGGCAATGAGCGAAAAGCTCGAAACGAAGGCAGCCGCTGCATTGTGGGCCATATCAGCTAACGTCTTCTTGTGTCTACCTTGAGTCTCAGCTTTCTCAAGGGTTCTGGGGCCCATTATACTATGGTTGTAATAAGGAACCGACCCCCAAAATAGTATAGGTACTTATCAAGGCCCCCTATGGTAGTTCTCTTTGCTTTATCCGGGGTTCTTGAAGCAGCTCGTCTCCGGTCAATACTGTTGGTCACATGGGAATGGGGCTTTAATTAGGGCTCGTAGGGTTTAGGGTTTAGGGGTTTAAGGGTTTAAGGTTTAGGGTTCAGGATTTAGGGGTTTAGGGGCTCTTAGGGTTTAGGGTGTAGGGCTTGTTGTGGTGGAGGTCGAAAGAAGGGCACCGACACTTGTGTACTGCTACAAACCTCCGAGTAGATAGCACGGCAGCTGCGATTGTAGCCAGGCAATCAGAATGTTATGTGGACTCCTGATTACCCACATTTTGAAGGGCCAAAACATAGGAAAAGAACAGCGTTCAGACAAAGACAATGCTGCCTGCAGCACAGACGTGGGAAGTTCCCTGAACGATGGGACCGACGCGGCTGGACCCTTCATCTAAGGGCCCGAGCTGTAGAGGTTGTGGGCTTTTCTTATATTGCTATCTAGGAACCCTAAGGAATACCAGTACAGTGACTGATTATGCAGGCACTACCTTAACCCGGAATAACCTACCTTTTGAAGGACGTATATAAGGAAATCATAGTAAGGAACCCTAAAAAGGTAGGTTCTTCAGGGATAAGGTAAACCCTGAACCCTTATACTCTAAAAGAAGGCAAGATCGGCTCTGGGATGTTTCCACGGTCGCAGGCTAGCACTTCTTCCGGTCATACCTTTGTTTCAGCCCTGGGCACCCTTGCAGGAATGCTTCTTTTGGAACAGTCCTATGCACATGTAAGGCCACAAGCAATCATACGGCTCATGATATAAATCCTACATTACCTTAAGGACCCCACACTCTGGGAATTATGGTATATTCCTTATTATGGGTCATGCAGGATTTACATCATCAACCGTAGTATCATAGCCTCATGCCATGGAAGTACTTCACTTCTAATGGGCGGGTGCACAAGCTGGAGCAGGACACTTGGCAAAAAACAAAGCCACCAAGTGCCTGGCAGGAGTTGCTTGCATGCTCACTGAGCATTTAATTGCGGGCTGACCCCGTTCAGAGGTGTTGTTGTGCGAGTCGCAGGGTTTAGGGTTTAGGGGTTTAAGGTTTACTTTGAAACATTGTGCTCTGATGACCAAATCCAGCCTGAAAGACCTGTAAACTCCGTGTCCTAAGCTCGAAGCCCCAGGTGACATCATTCGCATTATAAAGGCCGCTATACCCTAGTACCCCTGTAGATCCCTTATAGGGACCCTGATAGACCCCTTTAAAGGAACCCTACTCCAACTATTAAGGCCCCATATCTGTTCTTAAACCTACTACTACCTACCACCGATTACTACTACTACTACTACTACTACTACTACTACTACTACTACTACTACTACTACTACTACTACTACTACTACTACTACTACTACTAACCTCTTGGCTAGGAGATCGGCCCGATCACGGCGCAAATGCAGCAATTGGTGGGGCCTTCGGCCCGAAGCACATCAGGGCAGCGAGATCCTTCGGATGACGCGCCGCACCCTGTCTGTGATTGGCCCCTTTGAGTCCGCAGGACATGTCAGAAAGCAGAGGAAGGAAGGTTCAAGAAGCTGTAGGTGCTCTAGTTGGTTGGCAGCTGCAAGCCATTGATTCTTCAGTGATCGTGTCCTGGCCTCTCTAGGCTATGGGGCATAGGCATCAACAGGAAAAAGAGGGGATGTCTGGCCAATGTGGCCCTGTGGCTGTTCCGCTTTAGACGAAGCGCCGCTGAGTGTCAGCAGGAAACCGCTGACAAATCTTGGAGAAGAAGCCGCATGGTGGATGCAATCACGACCCCCGAAAGCCAATACAGCCGCTAGCGGGCTGCGCTGCGCTACACGCAACCGCGAGAACTAATGAAAGCTATGCCTGTTACAGTGCAAAGGCAATGCACGACAATGCTAGCTAGTTGAAGCATGCAGCAATGACCCTCAAAGTCTTTCTAGCGTGGTGTTCAGCAGATTGTTTGCAAGAGCTGAACTGAAGTGTTACTTGTCTTGCCGGATGTCAGCAGTGCATATCCGGTATGTCATACCCATTCCTCCACAACACATCCGCCCAAGCCAGGTCACACCGCACGTTTGCCATGCAACATCACCGCACCCCACAACTCCAAACCAAGTCCACACCAGCCCACTGGCTCCAGCACCTCCCCACCAAAACAGCACACTCACCACCCACTCCACCACCACCCACTCTTCCCCCATCACTGTCAGAAGTGAAAGCCTAAACTCAATGCCGAATCGGTTGTAGTAGTTGGTCTGGATGGTCGAAACCTTTCACAGCGGCATCACTTTGCTGACAAGGTCATCTCGACCGTT